GCAAAATCGAACTCATTACAATAATTTCTCACTGGGAAGTTAAAAATAATAATAAATACCAGATAGCGAACATAAAGTCTCCTTGTGTTTGTGGTTTGCTATAATTAAAATTTTATAAGTTACAGGTATGTCAAGAATCAGGTAGTACAAACAGCTAACAGAGGAACGCTTCATTCGAGCTTACTTCAATAAAATTCTCTTTTTAATTTTGCGTAAAGAAGAAAAATAAATAAATACATGCTCTAAATTATATGACTTTTTTATTTCTATAGTCTAATCATTTCATTTTTTTAACACTATTTCGAACAAAGACAATCACTGTTTGCATTCTTACTGACTTCCATTCCAGTCCAATAATAATTAATTTTCTTTTCTTGATGTGATTTATATCTAAAACAGAATTTTTAAAATAATGAGTTAATCAAATAATTAAAAACATATTCACAAATTACATATTTTGTTTGAAATTACTGATTAGTTTTATGTTGCGCAGTAGAAGTACCATGGAAGTAAGTACCAACTGAAAAGATTTTTATTAGTAGAAAAGTGAGTATTCTACAATACTTTAAATGTTTTATGACTATACTTTATATTTAAACAAGTTATTGGACGAAAAAAAATGTATTGTATTTTGTTCAACATGAAGAATACTGTGCAATAAATGATAAAAACTTGACAAATTGGTTGAGTTTCTTATTCTAGTAGCGTAATATGTATTAATTAATATTAATGTTAGAAACGATGAAAAAAATCGATTTATTGAAATCGAGATTCTTTCTTGTAATTTGACACAATTATTTGATAACATGATAAGTTCATAGATCATAAACACATGATATATAATAATGATGGTATGCGACTTTGGTAATGTACCGGTTGCATTAGTATGACAAAAGTGTGCTCAGTCCTATTATATTATATTTATTATGATTAGATCATTTGCAAGTTTTATAGCTTAGTGTCAATAGAGTCACAGCAGTTTCGATGTCTGGGAGATAAAGAAAAAAAATGAATCAAAAACTAGACAGAAAAAAATTTTTATGTCCGTCAGTCGTCACTGATTAAAACATCGATAGAATGATTTTATCAATATTACCATGAGGCAGATACAATAGAAGAATATGCAAAAAAATTTCTGATATTCGCCAAAAACAGATATTGTGCGATATCTGTAAAAAAAAACGGCGCCATGTCACTGTTGTTTGAAAGTCTAATATTTTCAACTTGTTTTATATGCAAAAAATGTTTGAAATCATAGAATTGCACCATGCTCAATTTGCCATTATCGCAAAACTATGAAATTGTTTTTATATATTTAAAAAAAAAAAAATCTGATTCTTGTTCTAATATTTCAATAATTTTTTAAAAGAATTTTAAAACAGCAAAAAGATTTGAAATCAAATGGAATGCCATGTCGTCCATGAAATGAGGTCATTTTTTTTTCAATTCCGATAAATAGTGTAAGAAAATACTCCTTCGAATTTTCTTTTAATAATTTAAAAAGTCAATTTGTGGATAAAATATTACTATGAATTATTTTTTTGCAATTAATTTTTACTTAATTTAAAAAAGTAGTTAGTTAAAAAAAAATTTTAGACGACATGGCCCAATTTTTGTAACCGTTTTATATTGATAGAAAATTTCCAGACGAAAGTCTCGAAATTTGGGCCATGTCGTCTAAAATTTTTTTTTTAACTAACTACTTTTTTAAATTAAGTAAAAATTAATTGCAAAAAAATAATTCATAGTAATATTTTATCCACAAATTGACTTTTTAAATTATTAAAAGAAAATTCGAAGGAGTATTTTCTTACACTATTCATCGGAATTGAAAAAAAAATGACTTAATTTCATGGACGACATGGCATTCCATTTGATTTCAAATCTTTTTGCTGTTTTAAAATTCTTTTGAAAAATTATTGAAAAATTAGAACAAGAATCAGATTTTTTTTTTTAAAGATATAAAAACAATTTCATAGTTTTGCGATAATGGCAAATTGAGCATGGTGCAATTCTATGATTTCAAACATTTTTTGCATATAAAACAAGTTGAAAATATTAGACTTTCAAACAACAGTGACATGGCGCCGTTTTTTTTTTACAGATATCGCACGATATCTGTTTTTGGCGGTAAAATGTATACTTTTGAGTGAGTCTCACAAGCATTCAAAGAATCTGACCAAAGTAAATGCTCGGAATTGATCGAATGTATATTTTTGATTTATTCTCTAGAGTATTCATTAAAGTTGTTCATGAAATTTGCTTGTGATCAACAGAATCTATCTTTTAGAGTCGGACTCCAAAGTATACATTGAATCTGATAACAGCATTTGTTCGTAATGCATCAAATTTATACTTTTAGATAAGTCTCCAAAGTATTCATTTAAACTGATGATAATATTCGCTTGAAAACGATCAAATGTTTATTTCCAAGTTATTCTCTAGAGTTTTCATTGAAATTGATTGTAAATTCTACTGTGATAAACTAATTCAACAGAATAGAGTAAGTCTTCAACGTATTTATGGAATTTAATTGCATCATTTGCTTGAGATGTATTCAATGTATATTTTGAAGTCAGTCTCAAGAGTATTCTTGGAATCTTGCCATAGTATTTGCTCGGAATTGATAAAATGTATATTTTTGACTTATTCTCTAGGGTATTTATTCAAGTTGTTTATAACATTTGCTTGTGATCAACAGAATCTATATTTTAGAGTGTGACTCCAAAGTATACATTAAATTCGATTACAGCATTACTTTGTAATGTATAAAATGTATACTTTTGAGTAAGTCTCACAAGCATTCATAGAATCTGACCAAAGTAAATGCTCGGAATTGATCGAATGTATATTTTTGATTTATTCTCTAGAGTATTCATTAAAGTTGTTCATGAAATTTGCTTGTGATCAACAGAATCTATCTTTTAGAGTCAGACTCCAAAGTATACATTTAATCTGATAACAGCATTTGTTTGTAATGTATCAAATTTATACTTTTTGATGAGTCTCCAAAGTATTCATTTAAACTGACAATAATATTCGCTTGAAAACGATCAAATGTTTATTTCCAAGTTATTTTCCGGAGTTTTTATTGAAATTGATTGTAAATTCTACGGTGATAAACTAATTCAACAGAATAGAGTAAGTCTTTAACGTATTTATGGAATTTGATTTCATCATTTGCTTGAGATGTATTTAATGTATATTTTGGAGTCAGGCTCAAGAGTATTCATGAAATATTGTTATAGTATTTGCTCGAAATAGTTCAACATATATTTTCGTGCTATTTTCGAGACTATTCATTGAAATTGTTCACAACATTTGCTTCTTATTAACCAAATTTATATCTTAGAGTCAGACTCCAAAGTATACATTGAATCTGATAACAGCATTTGTTTTTAATGTATTAAATGTATACTTTTGAGTGAGTCTCACAAGCATTCGAAGAATCTGACCAAAGTAAATGCTCGGAATTGATCGAATGTATATTTTTGATTTATTCTCTAGAGCATTCATTAAAGTTGTTCATGAAATTTGCTTGTGATCAACAAAGTCTATCTTTTAGAGTCAGACTCCAAAGTATACATTGAATCTGATAACAGCATTTGTTTGTAATGTATCAAATTCATACTTTTAGATAAGTCTCCAAATTATTCATTTAAACTGACAATAATATTCGCTTGAAAACGATCAAATGTTTTTTTTCAAGTTATTCTCTAGAGTTTTCATTGAAATTGATTGTAAATTCTATTGTTATGAACTGATTTAACATAATAGAGTAAGTCTTTAACGTATTTATCGAATTTGATTTCATCATTTGCTTGAGATGTACTCAATGTATATTTTGAAGTCAGTCTCAAGAGTATTCATGGAATCTTGCCATAGTATTTGCTCGAAATTGATAAAATGTATATTTTTGACTTATTCTCTAGGGTATTTATTCGAGTTGTTCATAACATTTGCTTGTGATCAACAGAATCTATCTTTTAGAGTCAGACTCCAAAGTATACATTCCCCGATAGCCATTCGTGATAATCATATATACATCACGCGATTTAAGAAACGAATTTTAATCAAGTTTAACGCATATGTATTACATTTACTGAATAAAAATTCATATTGGTAAATTAATGATCAAATTTAGGGATTCATAATCGATAAATAATTTGGTGAATTATTGCAACAAAGTATTTACGCAAAGTTGCTCTTGTATTTACTAAATTTATTTCTTAATATATATGAGCGAAATATTGGATCATATTAACAACATTCAATGCGTCATCTATTTACAAAAATTATCAGTAATCTAATGACGACACTAAATGAATGAAAGTTGATTTAAAAGAAAAATTCAATTCTATCATATACAAAATTAAAGAGACTCAATAGACTTTAATAATCACTACATCTAGTTGAGTTGACTGAACCATAATTGTTTGTACACTTATTAGTTGTCCAATGGTTATTTTTTCACCTAATAACATAGTCTCGAAAACCAGTGAATAGCAACATTCACAGTATACACCAGAGTGATTCGGGGGAGCGATGTATAGGTGAATGTCCGTGAGGCACTATGGCGTCGACGCCAGTTCAGCTTCGCGCCCAAAGACACTACAACCTGAATATACAGGACCACTTGCACTGATGAGAGTAATTTGATGATTCACGTTTCTTCGTGAGAGCTGTCTGAGTCTATTTGACCGTACTTTATTGTACAACGGGTGAGCTGACTGCAAAAAACTACGATTTGACTGCGAAAACTTATACAGAGATGACCGCGTGATTTGCCTGGAGCTAACTGACGCCACAAGTGCTCTACCGCGTGCTTGTTGGCGTCACTAGGGCCGTAGAGTTGCCTTCTGGGCCATGAGGGAAATACTTCCCGATGATTGGTCCAGTGAGTTGACTGACGCGCCGGTGGACAAGTCCGGCATCAACAATTTTTGAATATTTCTGACTAACTGACTGGGGCCCCTCCAAGTCAGAACATTGTCCCACCATCAGCAACGCCTTTGCTGATCTTCTGCTGGTGGAGTGTATGGTAAGATGACTAGTTTGGTGAGTGGTCTGATGAGTTCTGCTGCTGCTGTCCTGAGTTTGACTGTTCTGATGAGTCCGTCTGATCCTGGGAACACCTCAATCACTCTGGCGAGAGGCCACTTCGTTGGTGGGAACCTCTCGTCAGTGAGTAGTACAAGTGAGCCGACTGTGATGTTGTGAGCGGGGTGTTTCCACTTGGAAATGGCGAGTTGCTGCTGAAGGTATTGTTTTGACCACGTTGACCAAAACGATTGGAGTCGCTGCTGAATAAATTGCCACCTGGACAAGCGTGGCATTGGCACATCTTCCAGTGAAGGCTCTGGTAATGTTACTAGTGGTTCACCAACCAAGAAGTGTGCTGGAGTCAATGCTGAGATGTCTGTAGAGTCGGCTGAGAGAGGCTCGAGTGGTCTGGAGTTAAGGACTGTTTCTATCTGGACAAGCAGTGTGGAAAGCTCTTCATATGTAAAGAGTGAGTCGCCTATCGTTCTGTTATTAAACTTCCAATCAGTTCCATCCTTTGCAAATACAGCTGCGAGTTGATTGAACTGTTGAGTCCCCTGCTTGAAGAGTTGTCTGATGAGCGTGTCTGCGCCTTGAAATGTGGTGCCACAATCACTGTGGAGAGTTCTGCAGACACCTCGACGTCCAGTGAACCTTCTGAACGCTGCAATAAATGAGTCTGCTGAATAATCTGTTACAATTTCTAAATGAAGCGCAGAAGTAACGAAGCACACAAAAATGCACATCCAACCGTTAGATGTTTTGGCGCCTCTGCCTTTCCAAGTCTTTAGCATGATGGGACCAGCGTAATCCACACCACAGACGGCAAATGGTCGGGCTGGAGTGATTCTTGATACCGGTAATTGACCCATTAACTGTTTCGCTCGTTCGCCACGTAAACGAGCACATTTCATACAATGGTAAATATAGGATCGTACTGGGAGTCGTCCGCCAATGATCCAGTACGATGATCGTATGAGGTTTGGAGTTGCCTGCGTCCCAACGTGCAATGTTCTTTCATGAGCATCTGCAATGATTAGTCTGGAAAGATGAGTTTTCTGTGGTAGGATTGCAGATTGCTTTGCTTCTTGGTCCAAGCTAGCATTTGCTAACCTCCCTCCAACACGTATGACTCCCTGAGTGTCAATAAATGCTGTCAATCGTGCGAGGGGGTGTGAGACGGGCAGTGAATTTGAGTTGATCTGCTTGATTTCTTGTGAGAAGTACGATTCTTGAGTTGCCTTTATCCAAAAAATCCTTGCTCTCTCTAATTCTTGTGGCGTGAGAGGGAAGGTGAGAGATGACTGCGGTACTCGTCTGAGGAGTTGGCTAAATCTGAAGCAAATTGCAGTCACTCTGAGCAATTTGATTAGCCGAGAATGTCTGTATATCATATCCCAATGATAATCATGTTGAATTGTCTGAGTAAGTAAAGTGAGCCCGGGCCGCTCTTCCTGCTGAGCTTTTGAATCGTACACTGATGATTGAGTTGGCCATAATGATTCGTCTGCTGTTAACCACTGTGGTCCTGTCCACCACAGGGGGTGCTTCCGAAGCTGGGATATGCTGATACCTCGAGAAGCACAATCCGCTGGATTTTGTTTGCCAGGTACAAACCTCCAAACGCTGATTGGAGTGAGATCTTGAATTGCTGACACTCTGTTCCTTACAAACTCCTTCCAACGGGATGAGTGAGACTGAATCCAGGTCAAAGTCACTGAGGAGTCTGTCCAACATACGAGTTGAGTTGGCTGAATGTCTAAGTTGTTCCTTACATAAGTGATTAGTCTGGCAACCATCAATGCTGCGGTGAGTTCGAGTCTGGGAATTGACATCTTCTTCAATGGAGCAACCTTAGACTTTGAGCAGACTATAGTTGAACAAGTTCCATGATCTGGATGAGTAGTCCGTATGTAAACAACAGCTGCCATAGCTGCTTGTGAGGCGTCTGAAAAACCATGAAGTTCCACGGTCGATTTCTGAGTAATCCGTAACCATCGTGGAATTGAGAGGTCTGAAACATGTGAGAGTTCTGATCTGAAGCTTTTCCACTTGGTGATGATGTGATCTGGGGCTTGGTCATCCCAGGAAAGTTTATCTAGCCAGATTTCTTGTAGCAACATCTTTGCTCTGACAATGAAGGGTGCTAGAAATCCAAGTGGATCGTAGAGTTGTGCTGTTTCTGATAAAATTATTCTCTTTGTGAGCTTGGACTTCTCACGAAGAGGTTTTAAGTTGAACTTGAATGAGTCGTTCGCTGGAATCCACGAGAGCCTAAGTAATTTCGTTTTGCTGCTCTCAAATGAGTGGATCTGCTCTTCTGATGAGTTGTCTGTAATCGATTGAAGGAATTGAAGTGAGTTGCTGTGCCATTTCGCTAACGGGAAGCCACCTGCCATGCAGAGTTGTCTGACTTGGGTTGAGATATCTATCAGTTGACTCACGGTGTCAGCACCTCCAACAATATCGTCCACATATCTTCCTTTTAGTACTGGATCAACAGCTAGAGGGAACTTATGACCCTCATCCTTCACTAGCTGGATCATTGTGCGAACAGCCAGAAATGGAGCTGATCTGGTACCATACGTGACTGTTGTGAGTTGATATGGGATGATCTTGAAGTGCTCGTCCACCCACAGGATTCTCTGGAGATCCCAATCATCTTGGTGGACTTTGATTTGTCTGTACATCTTGGTGATGTCTGATGTGAACACAAATTTCTGCTGCCTGATCCAAATGAGTACGTCTGCAATGTCTTTCTGGACTTTGGCACCAGTATGTTGAATATCGTTCACTGATAGACCACTCGAAGATGGACTAGAGCCATTAAATACTACCCGAAGCTTTGTAGTAACACTGTCTTCTCTTAAGACACCATGATGAGGCAAATAATACACTGGAGAGTTGACTGGACTTGCCTTGGCTCGTGTCATGTGGTTCAGTGACTCGTATTCTTGCATAACGTTGTGATATGTTGTGCATATGAGTCATTCTTTGTGAGTCGTCTGATCATGTGTAGTAAACATTGATGAGCTCTCGCTGATGAGTTGCCTAGAAGAGACGGTGATGCTTTTAGTGGTATTCTCACAATATATCTCCCATCTTGATCTCTTGAATGAGTCGTAACATAATGATCTTCACAAGATTGATCATCTGGGCTGAGTTGGCTGGCTGAAGTCTCTGGAACTTCTTCTTGAACCCAGAATTTTGTCAAGAGATCAGATACTTGCTGGTATGAGTTGACCCTTGCTGCGTGATGAGTTCTCTGACTTGAGCATCTTGTCGGGTGTGGACTTCCAATGAGCATCCATCCAAAAATTGAATCTTGGGCTATGAGAGATGACTGAGGAAACTGTTTGATGCCTGCCTTCACAATTAGACCATAACAATCTGCTCCTATTAAGATATCAATGGGTCTTGGAGTTGAGTAGTCTGGATCAGCGAGTTGAAGAGAGTTAAGAGCTGACCAGTTGAGTTCCTTGAGTTGTCTGGTTGGTAAAGTACCAGTGACACATTTGAGGATATGAGCATCAATTGTAACTTGCTCCGTTGTGTAAGTTGATCTAAGTGTCACTGTTGTCACTCCTCTAGTTTGTACAGCTGGTTCGTTACCAATTCCCAGCACTGATATTACTGATGGGCGACGTTGGAGATGACAAGTCTTTACCACACTTGATGAGATGAACGTCAGCTCAGACCCTGAGTCTATCAGGAGTCTTACTGGAAGCTGAGAGTAGTCTGAGAGTAATACTGCATTAGCTGTGGCGAGTAAGACTGCTGAGCTGTCTGAATGATCTGAAGACTCATTAATGCATGTCTCTTCTGCTGCTCTAAGTGCTGAAGAGAATCGTCCATTAATCTCTGAGTTGTATGTATTGTTCTTGGTGATTGTTGAATCATGTGAGTCGTCTGAGAGTTGACTAGTGTGAGTTTGACTCTTTTCTTCAGCTGTAGGAGATCGAACGAGACCTTCTGACTCTTCTTCCAGGACCCTCAACCCTCCTGAGGCCGAAACCTCATGTGCTAAGGTCATCCTTTCCGTCGAGTCATCAGAGAAGCATTCTTTACTCCTGTAAGCACATATAGATTGACATGATTCATAACCATTAATCGTTGAGTTGTCTGCATGTTGAGTGATCACACCACCACTTGGAGAATTGACTAGAACATAATTAGAGTTGACTGCAGAGAGTTGACTATGAAGATGAGTTACCTGGTGAGAAGTCTGCTTAGATGAATGGGTGTGATCTGGAGTCGGCTGTGGAAGTGGCACATCGTCATCTCACTGGGAGGTTGACGGGTGGTGGCTGCTATGAGTCGGCTGCGGTTCTTGGCCTGGGCCATACCCTCTAGTGAGTCGCTGTCGTCAGCTACATCTACGTAGTCCGACTTGGCAGGAGAAATTACACGTTTGTCTGCCATTGTTCAGTTGAGTGAGTTGTCTAATATCACTAACTACACTTATCACTAAGAAAATTCAAAAAAAATGTTGCTAGAGTTGTCTGTTGTCACCTTGATACCAATGGTGGGCTTTCAAGAAAGTCTCAACACCAAAAGAATCACACAAATTACTTAACTGAGTCTACGAGCTCTTAATAATAATTTTAGGTGACTAAACTTACTCTAAGGACACTACACTAATTAATAACTGTGTTTATATACACGTGAGTTGACTGCGTCGAGGGTATCTTGGCTCTCACACAACCAAACTGCGCGCCAAGCGTCTCAAAAAATTGTTTAAGTTGTGAGATGAGCACCACTGTCTCACAATAATACAGATGAGTGTCACTGGGCACTGAAATGCGTAAACACCTTTCGTCTGTAAGGTTGTTTACACACTGACACTGAAAGTTATTTGAGTCTAACTAAATTCCAAGCACTTTATACAGAGCATTTCACAAAATATTTACAAAATTATGAAGCCCTAGAACCTTCTAGAGTTATTCGATATGCATCCAAGCCGTTCTTATCCGGCTCGAAGGACCAAATGTTCTGACTTCGAGTCGGCCGAATGAGCAAACAGAAAACTAGTGGACTGTATAAATTAAGAGCAGAATAAGAAAAAAAGGTTGGATGCTAGAAGGTTCTAAAATATAGTTTCTTAACACAGAACTGCTTAAGTTTTATAGTTTTTATTCAACAATAACACTTAACATACTCAATAGACTTTAATAATCACTACATCTAGTTGAGTTGACTGAACCATAATTGTTTGTACACTTATTAGTTGTCCAATGGTTATTTTTTCACCAAATAACATAGTCTCAAAAACCAGTGAATAGCAACATTCACAGTATACACCAGAGTCATTCGGGGGAGCGATGTATAGGTGAATGTCCGTGAGGCACTATGGCGTCGACGCCAGTTCAGCTTCGCGCCCAAAGACACTACAACCTGAATATACAGGACCACTTGCACTGATGAGAGTAATTTGATGATTCACGTTTCTTCGTGAGAGCTGTCTGAGTCTATTTGACCGTACTTTATTGTACAACGGGTGAGCTGACTGCAAAAAACTACGATTTGACTGCGAAAACTTATACAGAGATGACCGCGTGATTTGCCTGGAGCTAACTGACGCCACAAGTGCTCTACCGCGTGCTTGTTGGCGTCACTAGGGCCGTAGAGTTGCCTTCTGGGCCATGAGGGAAATACTTCCCGATGATTGGTCCAGTGAGTTGACTGACGCGCCGGTGGACAAGTCCGGCATTGACAATTTTTAAATATTTCTGACTAACTGACTGGGGCCCCTCCGAGTCAGAACACTCATTAAAAACTATAAATTCGATATACTACAAACAAACGCTGTTATCAGATTCAATGTATACTTTGGAGTCTGACTCTAAAAGATAGATTCTATTCATCACAAACAAATGTCATGAACAACTTAAATGAATACTGTAGAGAATAAGTCAAAAATATACATTCGATCAATTCCGAGCATTTACTGTAGACAGATTCTATAAATGCTTTGGAGACCCATCTAGACGTATACATTCTATACATTACAAAGTAATGCTGTAATCGAATTTAATGTATACTTTAGAGTCACACTCTAAAATATAGATTCTGTTGATCACAAGCAAATGTTATAAACAACTCGAATGAATACCCTAGAGAATAAAACAAAAATATACATTTTATCAATTCCGAGCAATTACTATAGCCAGATTCCATGAATGCTCCGGAGACCCAACGCAAACTATACATTCGATACATTACAAGCAAATTCTATGGCCAGATTCCATGAATACTCTTGAGCCTGACTCCAAAATATACGTTAAATACATCTCAAGCAAATGATGCAATCAAATTCCATAAATACGTTGAAGACTGACTCTATTATGTTGAATTAGTTTATCACAATAGAATTTACAATCAATTTTAATGAAAACTCTAGAGAATAACTTGGAAATAAACATTTGATCGTTTTCGAGCGTATATTATTTTCAGTGTAAATGAATGCTTTGGCGACTCATCAATAAGTATAAATTTGATACATTACAAACAAATGCTGTAATCGAATTCAATGTATAGCATGGAGTCTGACTCTAAAATATTGATTCTGTTGATCACAAGCAAATGTCATGAACAACTTTAAGGAATACTCAAGAGAATAACTCGAAAATATACGTTAGATCTATTTCGAGCAAATACTATGGCCAGATGCCATGAATGCCTTGGAGACTCATCTCAAAGTATACATTTGATACATTAAAAACAAATGCTGTAATCGAATTCAATGTATACTTTGAAGTCTGAATCTAAAATATAGATTCTGTTGATTACAAGCAAATGTCATGATCAACTTCAATGAATATTATTATACTATACATTGAATCTGATAACAGCGTTTGTTTGTAATGTATCAAATTTATACTTATTGATGAGTCGCCAAAGCATTCATTTACACTGAAAATAATATACGCTCGAAAACGATCAAATGTTTATTTCCAAGTTATTCTCTAGAGTTTTCATTAAAATTGATTGTAAATTCTATTGTGATAAACTAATTCAACATAATAGAGTCAGTCTTCAACGTATTTATGGAATTTGATTGCATCATTTGCTTGAGATATATTTAATCCGCACAAAACAGGCATCTAGGGATGCCTGTAAAAACTGGCGCCAAGTCCACATTCAAGTAAAATTAGTATAAATGGAAAAAAGGTAAGATCAAAAAAACATGTGAAATCAAGTAAAACGCCAAGTTAGCTGCGTCTTTTTTCATAATTTTATCGAACTAGCAATGTACTATTGACTTATAAAATTTCAGTTAATTTTGAAGTACCAAAAAAAAAATCTTTAAAACCAAAAAACTATGGAACTTGGCCCAATTTTTTAAATTCTTTCAACAGTTCCATATATTATAGTTCGTACATAAGAACATTTGAAACTGAATTGGGCAGACTTTAAAGACAAAATTGGGCCAAGTTCCATAGTTTTTTGGTTTTAAAGATTTTTTTTTTGGAACTTCAAAATTAACTGAAATTTTATAAGTCAATAGTACATTGCTAGTTCGAAAAAATTATAAAAAAAGAGGCAGCTAACTTGGCGTTTTACTTGATTTCACATGTTTTTTTGATCTTACCTTTTTTCCATTTATATTAATTTTACTTGAATGTGGACTTGGCGCCAGTTTTCACAGGCATTCCTAGATGCCTGTTTTGTGCGGATTTCACTTCTTTTTGAAGTGAAAACTTCTTCAGGCGCGTTGGAGCAATTTTTAGTAGGGGACAAACTTGTAAGTTCACATCACCAAATCATCCGTGTTACTGACATAGTAACGTTGATATAATATCTATAGCTATGAAGTTGAAGCGTTCCTCTTGAATAACAGTAGAAGTATATATACATATATATATATATATATATATGTATGCATAAAGTATTTTTAGTGGACTTTTTTTATGTACAATGGTTATTATGCGGA